AAAAAATAAAGTCTTACTTTTAAACTATATTGTTTCATTTAATTTAAATTTTAAAAATATATTCTATTAAATATTGAAATTTAGATTTAAAAATTAATTGAATTTTTAAATTTTAAATTAAGATTTTAATTTCTAAATATAAATTGAAACTCTAATTTTTTTTAGAAGTTGGGATTAATATGTATTACTCTTTTAATTAATTGCTATAAAAAATTATAAAAGTTGACTTTAAATAAATAAATTAATTAATTAAAATCATTTTACATGTTAATAGTATTAAAATAAACATCAATTCTTATTTTTTATATAAATTAATTACAAAAAATTATATTTATTACACCTTTAATTTATATATTTAAGATAAAAATTAGATTAACATTATATTAATTTTAATGTGAAAGTTAATTATAGAAGAGAAGGAGTTGCTGTGCAATTCTTTTCTTCCTAAAAATAAAATAAATAAAATTTTAAGCCACTCCTTTCAATCAAAGAGGAGTCATCCCAGTCCAATGGTGAAAGTGATTGAAAATCCCTTTTAAGTCTTGTGTTTGAATCTCGGAGGTGACAACGTTAAGGGAAACTTTTCAAAAGATTTAAACCGTTCGGTTGAATGATTTGTACCAATTTAAATGATTTTATTGGTTTTAAATGGTTTAACCACTTTATCAGTTCTAAACATTAACTTGAACCATTTATTGTATCAGGTATTGACCCAATCGATTCAACTGGCTGATTTAGTCCAATTTTTAAAACATTGCTTTACAGCCAAGGGTGGTCCAAGGGAGACGAGCATGCCCTGTCCTTAATCCAATTTGCATCTCTTTAACATTTCACAAGATACCAATCAAGTCAAGGCCAATATCCCACAAGACATGACAAGGGAAAGCTCTAATCCCAAATTAAAAAATCACTTTTAATCCAACATTGAGTGGTTTACACTTTAAAGCTAATTACTACCCCTTTTTTTTCCCAATTTTTTTATTGATAAAGATTGGGGTTAGAGGGTCATTATCTTGAACTTGTTTGATATTGTAATTTGCAGTATTGGACATATTTGGTGGCTTTGCGGTGGGAACCCATTGCAACTTGCGAGCAGAAGGCTAGGTCAAACCATTGTATGTCATAATAGTTTGGATGGGGGAGTTAAAATTGAGATATTAAACCCAAATTTTTTAACCAAGAGAGGTGCAGTCTAGGCCAGGTGCTTAATTCTTTTTGTCCATGGGAGATCAGATGCAGAAACAGATCTTCCTTTCATTCTCCCCAACCTGACATAAGAAACCAAAGGGTTTACATGTAATATACAACTTTATAGTTATATATTCCATCATCAACCAGATTAATAATTAGGATGATTTTAACTCCGAATTTCAATGAAAGTAATCTCAATGAGCACACCTAATATCCTTTTTTTTTTCAAACCCTTGTTCACATTGAAAATCGAATACATTTTTTTAGTTGGTTTCAAACTAATTAAGAGTCAAAATCATATAAATTGCTGAAATAAATTAATCAATGTGTTCTAAATATATGAAGTGCCGGTGATATAGCTTCACCATTCTCGTGTATTAAGGAAATAGTTTTGTTTGGTGCATTCATGACATTCTAAGGGTTCATTTGATACAACGGTTAAAATTTAGGAGATAGTGGATAGTAAGTAGTAGATAACAAGTAGTGGGTGACGAATAGCAGAAAGTGGATAGTAAATAATAGATAACGGATTCGATAAATATAATTGTTTGGTTATACAATAGTTAACAGTTATTTAATATTAAATAACTAATAAAGATATGTTTAAAAATAATTAAGTGTATTTTTT